GTAAAATCATATATATATATATATATATATATATATATATATATATATATATATATGTGTGTGTGTCTGTGTGTGTGTGTGTGTGTGTGTGTGTGTGTGAATATTCTCCGATAGAGTGAATCTGTAGAAGAGACAAAGTGAATAAAAAGTTACAAGAGAAAAAAAAAATTCTTAGCCGCTACGTTTCTTCTTTAAGGGACTATATTCAGGCAATGAAGGACGAAACGCGTTGATTATGTCCTCTTGTCACTTTTTATTCATATATATATATATATAGAGAGAGAGAGAGAGAGAGAGAGTGAGAGAGAGAGGTGAGAGAAAGAGTTGGAGAGATAGAGTGAGAGTGTGAAAATTAGAGAGAGAGAGAGAGAGGGAGAGTGAGTGAGGGTTTAAGAGAGAGTTCTTGCTTCCCATATTCGTCGCAGATTTTTGGCGTGATTGTCCTTCTTGTTACATGGTGATAATTATTTACCTATGACAAGAGGTGATCAAAATCTTTACGAGTTTCAATGGGTTAAATCACACGCACACACACACAAAACATCCCTTATATATATATATATATATATATATATATATATATATATATATATAAAATGAAATCATAGCTTCACTTGATGTTGAAAGATTATTTACCAATGTCCCTGTTAGTGAAACTATTGACATAATTATAAGATCTATATACAGTAACTCATCTTTACCCCACTTAAAATTAATCATAATTTATTACGAAAGCATCTATTAGCTTGTACTACTGAAGTCCTATTCTTATATAATAATAATAATATATAATAATAATATATATATATATATATATATATATATATATATATATATATATGTGTGTGTGTGTGTGTGTACAAAGTGATGGTGTCTCTATGGGTTCAGTACTGGGTCCGACATTTAGCAATTTCTACATGTCGAACCTTGAAAATAAGATATTAACAGAAAAAACTTACATCTATCTAAGATACGTTGATGGTATCCTTATATTAGTTAAAAATACAGATGAAATATTCAACTTCAAAAACGTTTCCAGAATAATTCTGTCCTTAAATTCACTTATGAACACAAATAATAAAAAATATACTATTTCGCCATACTTTATGCTGGTAGGTTTTTTTACCTACCAGCATAAATTCATGTACATTTAACTACAAGAGTAAATGCCCATATTACTACAAAACAGCAATTATAAAAAATCAAATACATTGTGCAGAAACTAATTCATCCACAAAACAGATTTTTTACAGTGAACTAAAGAATATAAAACAAACACTTATTAATAATAGCTTTCCAAACTATATAGTTGATCAACAAATAAGATGCTTTCTTGGAAATCTCAGTAGTAAGCAAATAGTACATAATACTGCTTCTACTAATCTCAAACATATTAATCTCCTATATCGTAATCCAATGCATACTAATTATAATTATAAACAAGATGAAAATATACTAATATCTAGTAAATACTAATATATCTACAACAGATCCTAGCAAAAAAATTAAGTTAATCATATACTACACTAAATCTAGTATATCCATCTCAAATATTCGCAATGATTCTTCTCCCCCGAATAGCGATTTGCAAAAAACCAACATAGTTTACAAATTCAAGTACCCTTTGGGAAATTGTATCTCCAACGAATTAAATAATATTTATGTTGGTCACACCACAAACTCGCTTTCACGGCGCTTGACACTACATTTGAATGATAACTCTTACATTTTTAAGCATTTAAAACAACATGCCTGGCCGCATACACAATTCCGGAAAATCCTTGTTGAAAGCACAACTATACTTAAACATGAAAACAATAAACAAAAACTAAACATTCTTGAAGCTATATACATAAAACAGTTAGAAGTTATTTACGTTTGTACGTGTTCCTGTTGTACATAAATACAAACATATATATATATATATATATATATATATATATATATATATATATATATATATATATATAAGAATTATCCCATACTTATATAAAGATACGTTATGGAGAATTTGCGGAGAATATATATGTAGGTGAGTGTGTGCAGTTTGTGTGTGTGTGTGTGTGTGTGTGTGTGTGTGTGTGTGTGTGTGAGCAGTTTATGTTGATCTTGTGTGTCAAATTCAGGTATTTTCTTACACACGAACAAATATTGGTATGTTGCATGTTTTGGACGCGCTTGGCCATGACACTTTACCAAAACATGCAACATGCAGATAATTCTTTTCTTTCCTTCCTGTGCGTCTATATATATATATATATATATATATATATATATATATATATATATATATATATATATATATATGTGTGTGTGTGTGTATAGTGATTTTCCAAGTGTAGCTTAGATTTGGCACAAGGCCGAAAGTATGGGGCACTCAGTGAGGATCGAACTCACTACTCAGTTGTGACTGTTCTGTGCGAGTATGTATATATATATATATATATATATATATGTGATAATTAATAAATGATTCATTCAAATTTAATGAAACCTTTTTATTCTATTTTTCTTAAATGGGATAAAAATTATTTTTATTCTATTTATGTTAAATCGAATAAAAATACAAATACCTGCCAAAAAAAGAAAATTTTATTTGACGAATAGACAAAATAAATAAAGTATATCGGTTGGCTTGTTTGTACAGAAAATTATATCGAATCGGTGTAATGAGTCAATGTCTTAAATGAATGAAGTTTTGAAACAATTTCTTGACGATACGAATGAGCTGTCTTCATCGACTACAGTTCATTCTTCGTGAAATACTTAAAGGGAAGGAAAAAAAAACATTTGTAAGATAGAAAAAGGAATCGAAAAATCACAGGTAATTATTGCGGAAAAGAAGAGACAAAGAAAATGACATGAAATGCGAAAAAGAAAGACAGAAAAAACAAATGAAAGTAAGATAGAAAGAAACTGAATAGAAAAAAGGAAGGAAGGAAAAAAAGAAAGAAAGAAAAAGAAAAGAAGAAAGAAAGAAAAAAGAAAGATAAAGATAGGAAAAGAAAGAAAATGAAAGAACGAAAGAAAACAACTCTACAGCATAAAACACATCATCGCCTCTAGTCATGATGTCCACACAAACATGTATATGCATAAAAGCTGAGTATCATCTACCATGTATTCAACTGTGAAAGCAGAATAACATATCATATTTTTATTACTCCCAAGGTCCCAAGAAAATTACATTTTTGCATTAAATAACCCATAAGAATTTAATATGCTGTTAAAAAAAACAAATCTAATCAAAAATTGAAAAATGTCTGGAAATCGAGGTAAGAAAATGGAAGATGTTTGGAAAAGAAGATAGTGGTGGGATGTAAGTAAACTGAGAGAGAAAAAGGGAAGATATCTAAGAAGAAAGAAACCAAGAGAGGAATTGAGAAATGTTTGGAAATTGGGGTAGAGAAATGGAAGATGTGGAAAAATTAAAGAAAGCAAAGTCGACAAAAGTCATAAACTAAAATGGATGCTAACAACGACAAAAATGGTAACGTGTGAATCCGTGCGTACACTAATGTTTCTAAGATTTTGACTACTCCATGGAAGAAGTGAGAACGTGGGTGGGGTCGAAGCTTTCAGAAGCAAAAGCCCATAGATCTATGGGAGTATATGCGAAGAAAGAATAAGAAGAAACTAAAAACGAGAAACAGGATAAAAACCGTCAAAATTGTTCTTTCAGGCAGAAAATAGATTTTTGAGTTTCTTTCTGCAAAACAACAACACACGAATCCTTTCCTTCACCAGCCCTATTTTATTAGTCTAATTGCTTACCTTTTCTTCTCAACTAAATTCCTTCCTTTCACGTTTTACAAAAATATTTTTTGTTGTTGTTTTCTTGAAAATACTTTTCTAGTCTTTAAAAAGTATCATTCATTATTTCTTTCTTGTGTTTTTTTTTATCCTTTCTTCGTTTTCTGTTTTTAAATCCCTTAAAACTGATCATTTTTCTTTTCTTTTCGCTTTCTTGTTTTTGACTATTCATGTTTTCCTTTCAAGTTTTTATTTCTGTCGTTTCTACTGCTTTCCTCTGTTTTGAAACCTAAATAAATATTCAGCTCCATTTGATATTTTTATCTTTTGTGCCAAATAAAAATGTCGTTTAGAAGAGTTATACCGGTGGGAAATTTTCAAATCATAATATAGGGTAATAAACTGGAACAGAATGATCGTGCACCTGAGAAAATTAATTGAAAAAAAATAATAAGCGTGTCTTATGAAATAAGCGTCTTGCTAGGCTGGAATAATTCTTGCTAGCATTTGTATTTAATACACAAGAATTAAACAATAGTTCTGTAGCTTATTTTTCAGTTCATTGAATAAAAGTTCTGCAGAGAAAATTATTTATAAAACAATAAGCACACCGGACCAAATAAGCAGCATGATTGTTTGATTGATTGACTGATTCGTTTTTACGGTTTATCAACCCATTTTAGGTTATTTAAAGCCAGAAAATATTTTTAGATTCTAAGATTTTTTTTTAATTATAATTGTTTAGTTATATAAATCTTACTAATTAATCCATAGCTGGAAGGGGAGAAGAAATAGATTTATACCTAATCAGAAATTGATAAACAAGCAAGAAATTATAACGTGTATATAAAGTGGGGGATCAATTCTATATTAAAATCAAGTTATAAAATAATCCCTCACTTAATGACCGCTGTAGTTTCTATACATTCATATTCCAGAGAATGTAAATAAATCTGAAAGACATGCCTGTGTACCTAATCAGTATTTCATTGTTTGATTGATTCATTTTCGACGGTTTATCGACCCTTTTCAGGTTATTTAAAGCCAGAAAATATTTTTAGATTGTCAGAATTTTTTTAGATAATAATCGTTTAGGGATACAAATCTTACTAATAAAACCAAAGCTGAGAGGATAAGAGGCGTATCCATCCCTTTCTCAAGGATGAATATAACAAACCCAACAGGAATTGGAATACGGCTCTAACGATTACGAGCAATTATCCATTACACCATCCGCACATCAAAGTTTACAGCACCTGGTATTCCCAGACAGTCACCTATATAGGTGCAGAACAGGCCCGACGTTGTTTAACGCCGGTGATCATAAGGGAACCGGTTTTTTTAACGTGATGTGATCGTAAGTCCGTGGGGGGAGGGCAATCTTGAAATCAATTGTGATATAGTTATTTTCCAAGCGTAGCTTAGATGTGGCACAAGGCCGAAAGTAGGGGGCACCGAGTGAGGATCGAAATCACTACTCAGTCGTATCTGTTCTAGCGAAACAAGCTTGTTAAACATGACACAACCTCGAGGAGCCCAAATCAATTCTGATATATCTTGCTTGTGTAGGCTTCCCAGAAAAGTACTTACTAACGATTTTGTCTTTAGCTCTCCAGCAATGTCATGAGAATCTGATAATATTTTTAATACTTATTTCTTAAAAAAAATCTCTCGGCACTCAAGAACTTAATTACCTCCCCTGACGCGTTAATCAAGCCAATCGCAGAGCCCTCAACTAAGCGTCCTTCACTTTACAAGTAAAAATATTTAACTTTAAGATGAATACAACATTTTGAAAATGAGGAAGACTACAATATTTATCTTGAAATTAACAGCCCCCAGATGATGAATGTCGAAAGTACTCGGAATAAAAAATATGTATCAACACGGTAATTTTCTCTCTTTCTTTAATAATGTCACCAAAAAAACTTGGCCGTCAATATGAAAGGATCGAACTGAAAATAAATCGACAAAACTTATCTAAATTATTCAATGAAACCCACACAGACGCGTGCGCACGCACATACACACACACAGAGACACACACACACACATACACGCACGCACACAGACACACATATATTAATATATATTAATCATTTGAAGCCAAGAAAGGCGCAAATGCCACAATACGATAATGATATCTGATACTTGACGAAGATTTGATGATGTCGAATACTGGACGAAGGTTCTCATACAATCGATCATTGGTCAGATGATCCCACCTTGGATAGGTACTAATGTCTTCATCTTTTAAGGTTACTCGGATCGACATACAACTGATAAAGGGCGGAGGGTACAACGTTCGAAACGCTATGATGACAACAATAAATCGTACGATAATAATTCCTAAGTAAATAGTGTAAATTTTGTTATTTGCTTTCTTCGTCTTCTCTTTATTTCTCTTTAACTAGTCTCTCTTCCCAGCTTTTTTCTTTCTTGCTTTCTTGCTTTTTGTTCCTTTGTTTTGTTTTTGTTCATGTACTTTTCATGATCTCAGTCATTATCAAGAACTGAGTGTTGTCAATATCTCAAAGAAAAGATTTTGTTACCTTCACACCGTTATTTTTGTACGAATGCTATATTTCAAATGTAAATCTCGTCATCGTCTGTTTTATCTTGTATCCAAGAAATTAATTAATGATCGTATATGAATAAATCCCCACTATCGTACAGGCTTACCACAAGAAGTTTCTAGAACCTGTTTCTGTCGTCCATTTTCTATCGCCGTTTGGCTTTCCAAGAGTTGGTTGCAGGTGAAAGAAAATCAGAGTAGAAGAAAATGCCGATGGCGTGAAATTGTTTGAGGCAGACCTCAACATGCCAAGAAGGGACCCACATATTTGATTTCATGACTTACCTCTGCGGTACATATAGGATGAGACATGTAATTTCTTTTGGCGCCTTCTGTAGCATGTCCGTCAGGCGTAGCCCTCTTCATCCGCTGGTTCAACCGTTGAAATCTGTTGTAATCGTCATCTGCTTGTTCCACCGTTGGGGTCTTTGTGGTTGGTCACGCTTAGTCTGAGTCCTCGTCTTCGACCTTGCCGCCAAGGGTGGTCTTACCAGGAGTTTAGAACACCCGACGGCATCGTTCTCAGAGTCACTGAACCAAGCAAGACTCTCCTTCATGGCACGGAGCGACCATCAGTGGTAATATAAGCGACGAGATGAGCAGAACTTTCACAGTCGGAAATAAAGAGAAGACGAAGAAAGCAAATTAAGTTTAACGTCGGAAATTAACTTTGTATACGTATTATGATTATTTTCTACGCATTTTAAATGTTTTATTTAAATTTCAAATTACACTATCCTGACAAAAGATATTTAATACAAATTGTATAATAATTACTTCCAGTATTGGGAATAATTGTTTCATTCTACTAATATGTGTTTTATGTTAATTAGGTATCGTCAAATATTCGCTAAAGTACATGATGAAAAAAATATCCAAAACAAAAATAAAATTTAACCATAAAAGTCTTTGAGATTTAAGCTAAAAGATCAAAGGATTTTTTAATGTAATTTTTAGAATCTTAGAAATCTTTGTTAAATTTTTTGTTTTCCTTGCGTCAATCTGGGACCTTAAATTTGTACGAGAAAATTGAGCGATATTTTCAAGGAAAAACAGATTTGTATGGATTTTTTTTTCTTTTTTTTGCAAAAATAAGATAATTTAATGAAATCGGGACTTATTCAGATATTAACTATTTTTGAAAAAAATATTTTTTGGAAAATCTTCGTAAAAATATATTTTTATATCTGTTACTCGCTGTTCCTTCAATATTATGATAATTCCTTTTTGTATCACTTAATGTGTATATTAGTTAAAAGAACAAGTCATCGTAGCATTTAAATCATCAAATTCTTTTGGTCAAAATCTGCTCTTAATCATAAAATCTAAAATGCAATAAAACTAATATAATATTAGTAAATTGCTTTTAAGAATAAAAAATATGAAAATTATAGTGGTAAGAAAAAATATTTTTCGATGAATTATGAATTTTTACAAAAATTGTTTTCATTTTTTATTAGAATAATTTATAAAATTTTAAAATTCTGTATTAACTTCAAGTAACGTTATTATTAAATTAAAACTGTATCAATCATAACTTGAAACGATCTCTACATTTCAACCACACTAGTATTTTAAATAAGAATATATATTAAAAAAATTAAGATTTATAAACGTGTCAATTGTTGTAAATACAGATGACCATACATTATCAAGAATTAAGAGACTTAACTAAAGTAAACTAAAAATTTGTTGGTATTTTATGATATTTCTTGAACAAGCGTCTATACAGGTAAGTTTATAATACCAAATGACCAAAAATGCACTAAAATATTAAATTGCTATTGCTTCGACTATTTTTTTTTTAGATTGCTGGTATATATATATATATATATATATATATATATATATATATATATATATATATATATATATATATATATATAGTCATCCACAGACAAACTGTTTCGCTGTATCACAGCTCATCAGTGTTGCTAGACATCCGATTTTATTAAGGTAATTTGAACCGAAGCCTTTATTTCGTCCACCGGTGTAGATTGTTCTAGTTCTACGTGTCATGCCTCTTATTATAATTATGCACCAACACAATAGCTCGGTCGGCAGTTAAGCTAGCTTTTCCGGAGGGCTTTTGAGTGGACCTTTGACCTGTTCAGGAGTTTGAGAGTCCCCCAGTCTTTGCATATTCTCAGCATTGGAAGCTCTCCTGGTTGCCGTTTCATCTGAATTTTCATTTGCCTTCGCTGCAGCATTTTCATTGCAATCTGGTCCTCTGTTGGTGAAGATTTCTTTTTACGAGGTATACTGCTGCCGTATACTATAGGCAACAATAAACTACAGAAGAACTCAAAATTGATCTCTCCATTTAAGTATTGCATTAACATTTAAGCTTAACATTTAAAAGTTCAACGATAAATCTTCTGCCAGCACTGGAATTAAAGAAAGTTTGATGTACGTAGGTCCTTACTTTCCGTACAACCAATTATTTTTATTTCATGGGTGACTTTCACTGGATTTCGAAAATAATTTTAATTATTCCCAAAATTATTACTAAGTTATGAAAATTGTTGTACAAAAAATTCGTCCGAAAATATCACATAAAAAAACAGCTGAAAACAATCGCACTGCTGAAAATTTGGGAATCCAAAATTTCAAGATTGTGGCACGGAATGTTTTTAATCTACTCATGGAGTCGGCCTGATTCCAAAATAGCATCATATGTTGGGCTTCCGTCTCTAGGAGTAAAGTTGAAAAACTGTGACACACTGACATTCGGATTTATTTATATATCAGAATGTAACTGGCCTTAGGCGAATTTATTGGTCTATAAGGATATCTTCCATACATATAAATGTCAGCCATGCCTATAACAATATCAATATGAATGTATTCCTTGCCTAGATTTTCTATGCCTATGGAAATGTGGATGACGTTAAAATGGCTCCTGAAATATCAATTTCAGTTGAGCTCTCTGGGGACGAGGTGTGGGTTGGTAAACAGTGACTATTATAGCTATAAAGCGAGACTCTTTGCAGATGCGAATTGAGTCACTGTCGGTCACTGGGCGTGTTTGTAAAAATAAATACGCTAAAAAATTTCTCTTTCATCCCTATCGTGCGCCGACGGCTTAATGGTTAGAATCTCTGACTGACACCAATTCAGTCGGGTTTCGATCCTAGCTAGAGGCAACCGGATGTCTAGCCACACTGATGAGCTGCGAAACAGTCTGTCTGTGGATGACGTTATATATATATATATATATATACCCGATGCAATGAGAACGAAAGTAATATATAAATTCTAACGTTCAAAGCCTTAATCAATAAGAGGGCTCGATAGTAGAGCGATAATTATTTCATTTATTATAATTTTGCCATATAGACGAAACCATTTTACTCACTACAAAGCTGCAACTTCGTTTCAGTGCATTTCAACTGCGCTTCGACGGTTGAGAACCATTTTCGATTCTCACCTGTCGAAGTGCAGTTGAAATCACTGAAACGAAGTTGCATCTTTATAGTTAGTAAAATGGTTTTTATCTGTCTGACAAAATTACAATAAATAAATATATATATATATATATATATATATATATATATATATATATATATATATATGGGATGTTTTGTTTTTTTTTGTGTGTGTGCGTGTGATTTAACCCCATTGAAACCCGGAAATGTTTTGATCACCTCTTGTCATAGGTAAATAATTATCATCGTGTAATAGAAGGACAATCACACCAACAAATCTACGAAGAATATGGGGAGGACTCTCTCTTAAACCATCTCTCTCTCTCTCTCTCTCACTCATTTCTCACTCTCACACTCA